CAGGCGGTCCTAGGGAACATTTCAGGCGGTCCTAGGGAACTTTATAGGTGGCCATAGGGAACATTACAGGTTGTCCTAGGGAACATTAGTGGTGCTCATAGGGAACATTACAGGGGTCCTAGGGAACATTACATGCGGTCCTAAGGAACATTACAGGTGGTCATAGGGAACTTTTTGGATGGTCCTAGGGAACATTACAGGTGGTCCTAGGGAACATTAAGGGTGGTCCTAGGGAACATTACATGCAGTCATAGGGAACTTTAAGGGTGGTCCTAGGGAACATTACAGGCGGTCCTAGGGAACATTACAAGCGGTCCTAGGGAACATTACAGGCGTTCCTAGGGAAAATTACAGGCGGTCCTAGGGAAAATTACAGGCGGTCCTAGGGAACTTTATAGGTGGCCCTAGGGAACATTACAGGCGGTCCTAGGGAACATTACAGGCGGTCCTAGGGAACATTACAGGCGGTCCTAGGGAACTTTATAGGTGCCCCTAGAGAACATTACAGGCGGTCCTAGGGAACTTTAAAGGTGGTCCTAGGGAACATTACAGGCGGTCCTAGGGAACATTCCAGGTGGTCCTAGGGAACATTACAGGCGGTCCTAGGGAACATTACAGGCGGTCCTAGGGAACTTTAAGGGTGGTCCTAGGGAACATTACAGTGGGTCCTAGGGAACATTACAGGCGGTCCTAGGGAACATTTCAGGCGGTCCTAGGGAACTTTATAGGTGGTCCTAGGGAACATTACAGGTGGTCCTAGGGAACATTACAGGCGGTCCTAGCGAACATTACAGGTGGTCCTAGGGAACTTTATAGTAGGCCCTAGGGAACATTACAGTGGGTCCTAGGGAACATTACAGGTGGTCATAGGGAACTTTAAGGGTGGTCCTAGGGAACATTACAGGCGGTCCTAGGGAACATTACAGGCGGTCCTAGGGAACATTACAGGGGTCCTAAGGAACATTACAGGTAGTCCTAGGGAACATTACAGGCGGTCCTAGGGAACATTACAGGTGCTCACAGGGAACATTACAGGGGTCCTAGGGAACATTACAGGCGGTCCTAGGGAACATTACAGGTGGTCATAGGGAACTTTTGGGTGGTCCTAGGGAACATTTCAGGTGGTCATAGGGAACATTAAAGGCGGTCCTAGGGAACTTTATAGTTGGCCATAGGGAACATTAAGGGTGGTCCTAGGGAACATTACAGGCAGTCACAGGGAACTTCAAGGGTGGTCCTAGGGAACATTACAGGTGGTCCTAGGGAACATTACAGGCGGTCCTAGGGAACATTAGAGGCGGTCCTAGGGAACATTACAGGCGGTCCTAGGGAACATTACAGGCGGTCCTAGGGAACATTATAGGCGGTCCTAGGGAACATTACAGGCGTTCCTAGGGAAAATTACAGGCGGTCCTAGGGAACATTACAGGCGGTCCTAGGGAACTTTATAGGTGGCCCTAGGGAACATTACAGGCGGTCCTATGGAACATTACAGGCGGTCCTAGGGAACATTACAGGCGGTCCTAGGGAACTTTATAGGTGCCCCTAGGGAACATTACAGGCGGTCCTAGGGAACTTTATAGGTGGTCCTAGGGAACATTACAGGCGGTCCTAGGGAACATTACAGGTAGTCCTAGGGAACATTACAGGCGGTCCTAGGGAACATTACAGGCGGTCCTAGGGAACTTTAAGGGTGGTCCTAGGGAACATTACAGTGGGTCATAGGGAACATTACAGGCGGTCCTAGGGAACATTTCAGGCGGTCCTAGGGAACTTTATAGGTGGCCATAGGGAACATTACAGGTTGTCCTAGGGAACATTAGTGGTGCTCATAGGGAACAATACAGGTGTCCTAGGGAACATTACAGGCGGTCCTAGGGAACATTACAGGTGGTCATAGGGAACTTTTTGGATGGTCCTAGGGAACATTACAGGTGGTCCTAGGGAACATTAAGGGTGGTCCTAGGGAACATTACAGGCAGTCATAGGGAACTTTAAGGGTGGTCCTAGGGAACATTACAGGCGGTCCTAGGGAACATTACAAGCGGTCCTAGGGAACATTACAGGCGTTCCTAGGGAAAATTACAGGCGGTCCTAGGGAACATTACAGGCGGTCCTAGGGAACTTTATAGGTGGCCCTAGGGAACATTACAGGCGGTCCTAGGGAACATTACAGGCGGTCCTAGGGAACATTACAGGCGGTCCTAGGGAACTTTATAGGTGCCCCTAGAGAACATTACAGGCGGTCCTAGGGAACTTTAAAGGTGGTCCTAGGGAACATTACAGGCGGTCCTAGGGAACATTCCAGGTGGTCCTAGGGAACATTACAGGCGGTCCTAGGGAACATTACAGGCGGTCCTAGGGAACTTTAAGGGTGGTCCTAGGGAACATTACAGTGGGTCCTAGGGAACATTACAGGCGGTCCTAGGGAACATTTCAGGCGGTCCTAGGGAACTTTATAGGTGGTCCTAGGGAACATTACAGGTGGTCCTAGGGAACATTACAGGCGGTCCTAGGGAACATTACAGGTGGTCCTAGGGAACATTACAGGTGGTCATAGGGAACTTTTTGGATGGTCCTAGGGAACATTACAGGTGGTCCTAGGGAACATTAAGGGTGGTCCTAGGGAACATTACAGGCAGTCATAGGGAACTTTAAGGGTGGTCCTAGGGAACATTACAGGTGGTCCTAGGGAACATTACAGGCGGTCCTAGGGAACATTACAGGCGGTCCTAGGGAACATTACAGGCGGTCCTAGGGAACATTATAGGCGGTCCTAGGGAACATTACAGGCGTTCCTAGGGAAAATTACAGGCGGTCCTAGGGAACATTACAGGCGGTCCTAGGGAACTTTATAGGTGGCCCTAGGGAACATTGCAGGCGGTCCTAGGGAACATTACAGGCGGTCCTAGGGAACATTACAGGCGGTCCTAGGGAACTTTATAGGTGCCCCTAGGGAACATTACAGGCGGTCCTAGGGAACTTTAAGGGTGGTCCTAGGGAACATTACAGGCGGTCTTAGGGAACTTTAAGGGTGGTCCTAGGGAACATTACAGGCGGTCTTAGGGAACTTTAAGGGTGGTCCTAGGGAACTTAAAAGGGGGCCCCAGGAGTATTATAGGTCGCAATATGAAATTTCACAAGGGGGGGGGGCTTGGTAACAGTATAGCCAAATCTATTTTTGCATCTTTGATGAGCTACTATAATATGAAACGTAAGATTTTAATTGATGGCCTACTGTAATATCAAATGTAAGATTTTAATTGATGGCCTACTGTAATATCAAATGTAAGATTTTAATTGATGGCCTACTGTAATATGAAACGTAAGATTTTAATTGATGGCCTACTGTAATATCAAATGTAAGATTTTAATTGATGGCCTACTGTAATATCAAATGTAAGATTTTAATTGATGGCGTACTGTAATATTAAACGTAAGATTTTAATTGATGGCCTACTGTAATATCAAACGTAAGATTTTAATTGATGGCCTACTGTAATATCAAACGTAAGATTCTAGTTGATGGAGAACTGTTACATGAATTATTTGCAACATTAATCACCGGCCCGAACATCGATTAGATTGTAACGATTGATTGATTAAGTTTGCTTTTTAGTTATATGAAGTCGTTTTACATTTATCCTAACCCTCACGTAATGTAGCACGTAATATAGCACGTAATGTACTATGTACAACGTATACAAACTGCATATTTGATGTCTCTAATACTTACTTTATTTACCTGTAGGTTACTTTAAATGATAAACATTTTTTATATTTTTGTGTGTGTGTCAGGGGCGAAACTACAGTGCCGCCAGACCCTGCAAAATGGGGGGGGGGGGGGGGGCGGCACGACCTTAATCAATTTTTTATAGTTAAAATATTTCATTTTCTTGCATTTTTTACTTGATGGTTGTTTTGTAAAAAAAAAAACTAAATGTAGTTGCGGTTAGATTATCTTTATTCTATAGACACCATCCCACGCTCTAGTATATTTGTTCCCTTTGTTTTTAAATCATTGTGAAAGCCTAGTCCTCCTTCCCCTACAACACACGCTGTTGTCGGCAAAATTCTTTCGATAAAAAATCAAGCGAGAGGCCGCTAGATATTATGACGATTTATGCTTCTTTATAGCGTTGGAAAGGGGCCCACATTCCATTGTGATTTTTGTATTGTTAGAATAACTATTTTGTACTATCCTGTATTCTACAAATAACCAAAAAGAATATAATAAAAATGATTTCGGTCTAATGTACGTTATTTTTGTTTTACAAAATATGTGATAGTAAACGTATAATTTGAATTATCTCCCATTAGTGTTTTACAAAAAATAAATAAAAAAAAATGATATTTTCACATCCGACTAATGCACTCACACATATGCATGTTGTTGCAATTTCAAGTGCCCCCCCCCCCCCCACCCTCTCTCCGGGGAAAAAGTCTGGAAGAAACACTAAGCATAGTATCAAGCGTAGTATATTTGCCGTTTTAAATATTATTTCGTTAAATTCAACAATTGCATCAATTTACAAGCCACAGTTTGATGGACGGAAAAGATATCAGAAACCAAATTTTACAGTGTTTGTGGTCATAATGGAGAAAGGACTTGATATAGTAGAATGTACCTAGACCCATTGGTAGGAGCTATCATTTAGACAAGCAAATCTTTATTCAAGCCGCCTAATCAGTGAAATCAAAGAAACCAATTTTACATGTGAACTAGTGGAATCTCATGTCACTCAACAGCTCATATATTGCAATGCTCTTTTAACTTACAACACACACACACACACATTATATATATATATATATATATATATATATATATATATATATATATATATATATATATATATATATGTGTATGTATATATATATATATATGAATGCGATACAAACACACATACATTCACATACGCATACTGATACACATAGACAATCACACATATATGTCAAGTATTCTATACTAAAAGAGTATGCAAAGTTTTTCAACCTACCAAGTGGATGTTAAAATTTCATTCGACTGCTAGCATAAATCCATCGACACTGCCGATGGCGGCTACAAGAAAAAAAAATCTGAAGACAGCGCGGACCACGGCCAGTGAGGTACAAGCCCGCTCTGTCGATTTCTTATAGGCGAGGATGTGGGGGCTCTAGACGTTCAGAGTGTTTGATTTCAACAATCTTCGCCTGACGCTAACATCAACCGCGGCGTATTACACGTCTCACGTCATACAATGTTGTATTACACGTCTCACGTCATACAATGTTGTATTACACGTCTCACATCATACAATGTTGTATTACACGTCTTACGTCATACAATGTTGTATTACACGTCTCACGTCATACAATGTTGTATTACACGTCTGACGTCTTACAATGTTGTATTACACGTCTGACGTCTTACAATGTTGTATAACACGTCTGACGTCATACAATGTTGTATTACACGTCTGACGTCATACAATGTTGTATTACACGTCTGACGTCATACAACGTTGTATTACACGTCTGAAGTCATACAATGTTGTATTACACGTCTTACGTCTTACAATGTTGTATTACATGTCTGACGTCATACAATGTTGTATTACACGTCTGACGTCATACAATGTTGTATTACACGTCTCTCGTCTTATATTGTTGTATTACACGTTGGCGTCATACAATGTTGTATCACACGTCTGACGTCATACAATGTTGTATAACACCAGTAACTTCATACAGTTATCATATATCAGAAACAAGCGTTATTTAACGAAATATATATTGCAAAAACAATTATATAAACATTAATCCACATTACCATTAATTTAAACTTAAAAATATATGATTCAAAGCAGTTTTTATACTAATTACAGTTTGGATTTTTTAAAATGGTATCAACTTATTAGGTTGTAGGTTTAGGTTAAAAATATTTTATGATGCAATAGTTTCGTTAGGGTTAGGGTTAGGGTTTTTTTATTTTATGTTACTGGTTGGACACCAAAGTGTTCAATATCAATTGACTTAAATCTCAGAGGATTAAAACCAAATCCTTTGTGTTTGGCACGTGTTTTATAAAGGTTCGTGACCAATGAATGGTGACATTGCAATACCACTAATTGGATTGGATGATTTGAAGACATTTTCGAACCCTATTTTTAGACCTGTCGTCTTCATCTCTACAATTATGTTTGCATGTCCTAGTGTTTTTAGCATTCTAGTTTCTTTATTCGTTGGTTTCATTTTAACAATTCATTCGAGATTGTATATATTTTATAAGGTTTTGATTAGGATTAAAAATAATTAAAGCGTCAGGAGAGTGACGGTAAACTGCCGTGGTTATGGTCAAGTCCAAAGTTTGAGGTCCAAGATTGTGACATGCCTGTCAAAGATTTGTGATTGTTTTCACGATTAAAAGAAGAGTCCAAATATCAATTAGATTCTTGTGCACGATTACAATCGTTCCTTTATACATAGCTGCTACGTCATATGTTGAGGCAGCTAATTCTGCTCTATACGTCAACTAGCATCAAGGTAATATAATTTTTAGTAATAGTTTGGTTTAGGGATTAGGTTTAGGGATTAGGTTTAGGGATTAGGTTTAGGGATTAGGTTTAGGGATTAGGTTTCGGTTTAGGGATTAGGTTTAGGGATTAGGTTTAGGGATTAGGTTTAGGGATTAGGTTTAGGGATTAGGTTTAGGGATTAGGTTTAGGGATTAGGTTTAGGGATTAGGTTTAGGGATTAGGTTTAGGGATTAGGTTTAGGGATTAGGTTTAGGGATTAGGTTTAGGGATTCTGGTAACAATGCTTAGAGTTACCTATCGTTAAAAAGTAAAGTAAAGTTTCCCTTTCAAACCTGACGGTCTATGGGGCAAGTGAAGTTGAGTTCACTTGTTTCTGTGACCTCAGCATATGAAGAGATGGTGTGGTCAGCACTATGCCCAGTCGCCTTTACTTTCCCTAACGTAAGTTAGGTACCCATCAGAGGTGGGTGGACTCAAGGACGGTCTACTGACTTGAACCCGGATTCGAACTAGAGACTTACGGGTTAGCAGTCCAGCTCTCTACCGCTAGACCATTCCGTCTCATACCTATCGTTAAGGCTACTTGTAATATCGTTAAGGTTACTTAAAAGTGGGCTATATCTCGTCTTAAATATGTTTCGAATTATTAGGACCCGGCAGACCCATAGCACCCAACCCTGGCCATACCCATAGCACCAAACCCTGGCCAGACCCATAGCACCAAACCCTGGCCAGACCCATAGCACCCAACCCTGGCCAGACTCATAGCACCAAACCCTGGCCAGACCCATAGCACCCAACCCTGGCCAGACTCATAGCACCAAACCCTGGCCAGACCCATAGCACCCAACCCTGGCCAGACTCATAGCACCCAACCCTGGCCAGACTCATAGCACCCAACCCTGGCCAGACTCATAGCACCCAACCCTGGCCAGACCCATAGCACCCAACCCTGGCCAGACTCATAGCACCCAACCCTGACTTACGGGTTAGCAGTCCAGCTCTCTACCGCTAGACCATTCCGTCCCATACCTATCGTTAAGGCTACTTGTAATATCGTTAAGGTTACTTAAAAGTGGGCTATATCTCGTCTTAAATATGTTTCGAATTATTAGGACCCGGCAGACCCATAGCACCCAACCCTGGCCATACCCATAGCACCAAACCCTGGCCAGACCCATAGCACCAAACCCTGGCCAGACCCATAGCACCCAACCCTGGCCAGACTCATAGCACCAAACCCTGGCCAGACCCATAGCACCCAACCCTGGCCAGACTCATAGCACCAAACCCTGGCCAGACCCATAGCACCCAACCCTGGCCAGACTCATAGCACCCAACCCTGGCCAGACTCATAGCACCCAACCCTGGCCAGACTCATAGCACCCAACCCTGGCCAGACCCATAGCACCCAACCCTGGCCAGACTCATAGCACCCAACCCTGGCCAGACCCATAGCACCCAACCCTGGCCAGACCCATAGCACCGAACCCTGGCCAGACCCATAGCACCGAACCCTGGCCTGAACCATAGCACCCAACCCTGGCCAAACTAAGCCAGTCAGAATTTAATGGTTATTGCCGACTTCCTGGATTTGACCGAGTCTGTGCGTGACTAAACGCGATGAATCTCTTACATAAAAGCTCTCCGCGTCCTGCCAATAGTTTTCTCTCAGATCAGACAAGTCTACATCAAAGTTTTCATCAGTTTTCATCAAAGTTTTCATCAAAGTTTTCATCAAAGTTTTCATCACAGTTTTCATCACAGTTTTCATCACAGTTTTCATCACAGTTTTCATCAAAGTTTTCATCAAAGTTTTCATCAGTTTTCATCACAGTTTTCATCACAGTTTTCATTACAGTTTTCATCACAGTTTTCATCACAGTTTTCATCACAGTTTTCATCACAGTTTTCATCACAGTTTTCATCAAAGTTTTCATCAGTTTTCATCACAGTTTTCATCACAGTTTTCATCAAAGTTTTCATTTCATCAAAGCTTTCATTAAAGTTTTTATTTCATCAAAGTTTTCATCAAAGTTTTCATCAAGGTTTTCATCAAAGTTTTAATCAAGGTTTTCATCAAGGTTTTCATCAAGGTTTTCATCAAGGTTTTCCTTTTCATCAACTTTTCATCAAGGCTTTTATCAAGGTTTTTATTTCATCAAGGTTTTCATCAAAGTTTTCATCAAAGTTTTCATTACATCATAGTTTTTATCAAAGATGAAAGCTAAACACTGGTTCGGTGTTGGATTCAGTAGCAACAAGTGGTATGATATATGTTTTGAAACATAAATCAAAATCTCATCTTAAGTTGAAAAACAGTACAGGATTTATTTTAACAATGTTTTTACTTTCTCGTATATACGAAGTATAGAGAAAGTCTTGTAATCGTGGAAAAAAAACGACATTTTTACAAATCTCGACGTTTTACACCATACTGATACGGAAAAACATAATTTTGCAATCTTGTCCGTATGTCTGTGTGTGTGTGTCTGTGTGTGTCTGTGTGTGTGTAAACACGATAACTTGAGTACCGTTACAGCTAGGTCGATGAAATTTCATATATAGGTATTTTATCAAAATCGTAGATCCTGATCATTTTTTGAGCGATTTCCGATAACTGGAAGTGGTACTTTTTCTACTTTGAATTTTTCAAAAGCCTATAACTTGAGTACTATTTCAGATAGATAAATGAAACTTTACATGTAAGTAAAAGATCTAATTCTCTACCTTCTGTTAAATTGTGAGTAATTTCCGTTGACCGGAAGTACTAATTTACGCTATTTCCGATTTCTCAAAAAACGCATGTAAATTTATAAAGTACTAATAATATTGCGCACTATTATGCACATTTTGTTTTGGCGTTCGCTTGGTGCGCAATTCTTTTTTTACTAGATTTTATTCTATTTTTAAAAGTTTAAGTAAACAAAAATAATGTCTATATTCCGAGTTGCCATCCCACGTAGTGTTATATTAGAATATTCGAGAAAATTTAGGGGAGATCACCCCCGGTTTATTTATATAAGCCGACATTGTGTTTTAACATCAAGAGTTAGAGGTGGAGTAGAAGTTGTCATATTAAGTTAGGGGTGGAGTTGAGGTTGTTATTTTAAGTTAGGGGTGGAGTAGAAGTTGTCATATTAAGTTAGGGGTGGAGTTGAGGTTGTTATTTTAAGTAATCTAAGGTTGGAGTTAAGCTAGAAATACAGACATAGAGTGTAGAGATATAGGCCTAGATAATATAGATATAGATATAGGCCTAGATGATATAGATATAGATATAGATATAGATATAGGTATAGGTATAGGTATAAGTATAGGTATAGGTATAGGTATAGGTATAGGTATAGGTATAGGTATAGGTATAGGTATAGGTATAGGTATAGGTATAGGTATAGGTATAGGTATAGGTATAGGTATAGGTATAGGTATAGGTATAGGTATAGGTATAGGTATAGGTATAGGTATAGGTATAGGTATAGGTATAGGTATAGGTATAGGTATAGGTATAGGTATAGGTATAGGTATAGGTATAGGTATAGGTATAGGT